TCGCCTCGCCCGGAGCTGCCAAACAACTCACTCATGTTCCCTCCTTAGGCGCAGACTCACGCTGGCTCGCGGGCTGGTATTTCACGATCAAACGAGGGACGTGCCCGGAGCCAAGCCAGCGTCTGCGCGTCCCTTGGCTCATCTCTCCGGCCAACTCGCTGACGCCAAGTACCACAGATGGCCGCCCTGACGCGTCAGGGGGTCCGACCTGGGAAATCAAGACCAGGAGCTGCAAACGTAGAATCGGTTACGCTGGAAGTCACCGGAGGCTTCCGCAGCTCCGAGGAACGTGAAGACCTAGAAGCTCAACGTGAGCTTGAAGAGATTTTTGAGGCCTGTGCTCTGGGATAGACGGCATGGTGGATCATGCTTTTCCCCCACACCAACCCAGCAACACCAAGAAATAAGAATGATGCTGTATTTACTGCAGAGATTTGATAGCAAGGACTGAGAACGTTAAAACAGAGAGCTCATGTTCAGCAATGGAGATAAAGTGTAATAGTAAACAGCTGCCTCATTTCCTTGACCTTGGGGTAATTTCTGTGCCAAATACAGAGAGACTTCTCTATTAAAATAGCATGTGACCACATCACTGAAGATCACAAATGAACACAAAAATGAAGGCTTACCAGACAATCTGAAATGTATTGTTACAGCTCATTGAGAATTTAAAAAAATAATTCTGCAAGATATTTTAAAAGTGTTTCATTTTGAAATGTCTGGAATGCCATCGTTTTAATGTTTCTGAAAGCAGTACTGAAAACAGCATTGGACTAAATAAAATGCACCTTGAATTTTTTTTTTAGGTAATGGCAAAATGTGTATGTATGTTTATATCTGTTTTATCTATAAGATTTTATTTTCTAAAATAGTAATTCTTATCAATAATTATGCATTAAATCCTAATATTGATTTTCTAAAATACTTAATATTTAAAAAATAAATAATATTGACAGGTGAAGAAATGCAGTTGTGGGAACTATAACAATTTTCAAAACCAAAACTCTGTATTTCCTAACTTTGAAATGTTTACACTTTAACAGGACTTTTCAAATGTAACTGCTTTTATATATGACACTAACGCCTTTATAACTTCACTTACATTTCTAGCGTAGGCTTTGCCAGTGATTATTTGCTTGGTTTTGGGCAACCATTTTGCATTTTGCTTTTATTCCTTTCTGAGAACTTAGCAGGGGTGGTAAGATAAGTAATGAATTAAGTTGACATCTACACAGTCCTTTCAACATTTAAAGCACTGAATACGTCAGTTTGCATTACAGCTACAGCTTCACTATAAAATGCAGTGTGCAGCTTGAGTCTAAGTAGGCAGTCTCAAAGTTAAGCGTCTAAATCCTTATTTTGCTGTGTGAAGGAAGATATGCATGCAGAATAAATCCACAAAGGTTTCCTTTAGTTTAAAGCTCCAAACTGAAGAGATCAGAGCTCCATGGCATGAAGAAGGCTGTGAGAAAAGTCTGAAACTTTTAACCAAGTAGAAAGCATTTATTCCGCAAGTTCCTCTCCAGGGGAACATTACATTCAGCAAGAGAGGATGTTTCAATTTACACCAGCAAATTTACACTAGAGCAAGAATGAAACTACGCTCAGGTCAGTGAAGAGAATATGCAATTTAAAAAAAAAAAAAGCACACAGTATGGTAGCATATTTCTCAGCCTCCTCGAACAAGAATATAGCATGCCAGTCATGCATAATTTTGTATATATCTGCATAAATACCACAATGAGCAGTACTGAAACCCCAGAGTGGCCTGATGATTGTGAGTATTTATAGGAGCATGTCTGCCAGGTTCCTTATCTATATAAAGACATTCAAAAATTAAACATATTCCCATGCTACGTTTCATTTTTTCATAATAGTATCTTCTGAGAAAAAGCATTTGGGAAAAGTATTTGCTGTTACTGCCCCATATATTATCATTTATTTAATCCAAAAAATGTTCAAAGGAAATTATTAAAGTCATTTTACTTTATTTCTTTTCAGTGTAGGAATGTTCTGATTAGTAATGACATTATAAGGATGCATGATGCAAACTGAGCTTAAAAAAAAAGCCTTTTTTTGTTTTTTTCTCCTTTTCCCAATGAAAAAAAAAACCTCCTGAGCTGAGACAGACCCATAATTTGTAACTGCCATTTAAGTACCCCATAAATTCTCCGAACTCTTTCTGAGTAGACCAAAGCAGCCGGAATGGCAGCCAAGGATCTCGCCCACTAGATTAACTTCTAAAAGCTAGTCAAAGGTTCAGGTTTCTATTGAGACCACATAAATGGTTAATTTGTGGTTGATCTATTGGATGCAGAAAAGCAGATCTCAGTAGTGAACCTGAAAAGGCTTTAAAAAAAAAATCCCAGAACATGGAATCTTTTCTCCTCCAGAAAATTTTTTAGAGAGAACTATAAACAGTTCAAATACAGAAGAAAGTGAATAGCTGGTTCCTCTAAAGTTTCTGCAATTTAACAAAATGTTACAGCTCAGTGGAATGAATTATGCTTTTAACTATACAATCTGAAACAACATTTATTGTGGCAAAGGAAATGGTATTTATTTTAAGAGTTTGCTATTCAGCGGGGTCTGCTTTGTAGAGCTTTATTTTTAGACAGTCAAAGTGAGGTTTTCATTTTATTTCTGATGCTTGCAAATACAAATTTTCAATTTTCTTGTGCTTTGAAGGAGTCAGAGGTTTTAAATGGTCATTTGTGTAGACTTCTCATTATGAGTGCTGCTAGGACTATTGTCAATATAGGCCATGAAGAAATTTCAGTGACCATGTACAACAAAAGTCCAGACAGAAAATACTGTGAAAAACTGAGTAATCTTGATTTTAGATAAATACCTGTTTTTATGACAAGAGATGGTTTTGGACTGAAATACTTGGTCCTTCCCAAGGCCTCATGAGAGCACGGGTGATGATTCTCACCTTTTCATCTCCAACTGCACGCTCCCACATCCTTCCTTGTGCTGACAGTAATGCTTGTCTTTCCACAAGGTGAACGCGTATGAGGAGCTAACCTGCCAGAAAACTAACCTTACACATACTGTTTTCCCCCCAGTTCTGCCACCTGAGGTAGCTTGCAATGGGATCAGACAAGCACCTGTGCCAGTGTAGCAGAAGGCCAGGAAACGCGCAGCCAGGAGCATGGACCGGGGAAGGGGAGTACATGCCCACCCCTCTTGGCCACAGCTGTGACTCAGGTTGGTTCAGCTGTTTCATCAGACTTTGCCCTGCGAATGCTTATTTCGGGTTGTTTAGGAGAACGACAGCATTAGTTTGTTTACACTTTTAAACTGTTCACACTGCCTATTTATACTGTTAATACTCCTGTGTTGGGAGATCTTTTTTGGCAACATCATAGTTGAGAGAGGGACAGAAGGAAAATAAGGAAGTATATTGTAGTGCACTGAATTTTTAGATGTTTATATAATAGAAAACTGAATGCCAAAATGTTACAATAAATCCATTGCATCAATAGATGCAGTGATGATTCATTGTATAAACACTGTATCCTGGGTATATTAACCACCATAAAAGCACATACATACTTATACAAAGATATATTGGTATGCAATTTATTGCAATAGTTTGGCATTCCATTGCCTATTAAAAAGTATTTCTACTGAGACTAAAAAGAGTGCACTTCTACCTTCTCACCCTTGCGTCTGGGAACAAGATCATCCCCGCTTTCTCTCTGTGACTAATTGAAGACACTTCTGGGGAGCGCTATTCAGAGCCTTGATTCATGTCCCCGGAAGGAGAGAGGAAGGATTCCCTGTCGAAAGAAAGCACAGTTAATCTTTTCCTTAAGAGTTCTGCTGTAGGATTTCAGCTCAAAAATTGAGACTAGCCCTTCCATAATAGCCTTAAAATAAGCAATTGCAGAGGAAACTGCTTTGAAATCCATGGCCTTCAACGGTTTTATACATTTCTGCAGAAATTCAAATTTGGAACAGGAGATCCTGAGAGAACATCCAGCAACCTGGACATTCACTTGCTCATTTCCCTGTGAGATTGGTCTTAAATCCAGTAGATGAGAACTTGAATTGGAAACAAAAGATTTCAGGTCAGTACTGAACTATCAATGACGTTGTGCAGTATGTTGCATCTCTCTTTTGTGTTCTTATTGGAGTTGTTGCATTTTTATAAATAATTTTTTTCAGAGGGGCAGAAACACTGGTAACGTCATAGTTGGTGTGCCAGAGATTCACTCTTTGTAGCCTACGCTCTTTCATTGCCAAGTGATGAAGGCAGTCTAGTCACTGGACTTGAGGCAGGTGTGTCTTAACGTCTTCTGCTAGAGCAGTACCCTTCCAAACACCTTCTGGTCAAGACCCCCGGCGCTCACTTCGGAAACCACTGTTTCAGTCCTAAACATCCCTGCTGCTCAGTGGGTTGTAAAAAGCTGAGATGGAGCCACTGAGCAACCTGATCCAGGGCATGTTTTCTTTCCACGGGGAAGCTCTTGCTCAGTCTCTTGCTGGAGCTGTTCCATTATGTGTGCATAAACATTCAGAGAAGTAGATTCTTGAAGGTTCCCTTGAAGAAAATTAATTATTTATCCATTATTTACACTCCTGGCAAGCACCTTACTACCTGACTGTGGCAGTGCGTGTGCTCTCTCTTATTCTCCTGCTGGAGCACTCTTACATAGGATTAATTTACTCTTCAGTGAACCAGAAAGATGTTGGCAGAAAAAACAATTTGATAGCTCAGTGATTCTGTCATGCTCTTGGTATGCAGGAGGCCAAGGTTTCCCTCTGGCCTAAAAAAGCATTACTACTGACAGACCAGGGGACACTGCTGGCCTTTTAGCTCCTACCTCTAGAAGCACCACAAGGAGAAATAGGTGTTTTTTTTTTTTTTTTCTTTTGTGGTGAGGGCAAAAATACAGGCTTATTAAAACAAGCAATTTGTTTGCATTGAAAAGGAAACAATAACACTCTAACAAGATACGAGTACTCTTAGATTTCTAAATAATAATTTTTTTGTCTTTTTTATTTAAAGGTATTTTTAATTAATAAGGTTCCTTTAAAATAATGTTTTTAAAGCGGGTGATTTCTTTTTAACTTGCTTTAATTTTAAGCTGAATATTTTTTAACAAATCGCTATGAAACACTGCTAGCTATCTTATGCAGTTAATAGCTGAGACCAAATCAGAGGTACCACAGATTCAGGAATTCAGATCCAGTGACAAAGTCAGTAAACACCACTGCTCTAAGGCAGAACATTTTGAATACTCAGATGTAACAAGGAAAAGACCAGTGATTACAGAGAGTCCAGAATGCTCCTGCAAAGTTATTGTAAACTTACATTTAGGAGCATTACTGCATAATTACAATGTACCTTTAATAAGGGAAGGGCATTTTTTTCCTTCTCAGAATTGAGCCATTTAAGCAGCTGGCTTATTATTGGTTTCACCAGCGGCAGCTACATTCATCTATAGGCAAATCACCCTTCGCTTCCCTGTTGAATAAGGCTGTATCACAATACCGACTCAAGTTAATGCGATTCTTTTCCTTGTTCTCAGGAATCACCTGATGAACATTGTAAAGATAACAGCTTGGACATGCTGAGCTGTAAATATTCTTAACCCAGCCAGGCTAGCTTGCAATCTGTCAAGATTACAGCTGAACCTTGAAAGTCATTTTGTAGGAGCAAGACAGAAAAGGTTTTTCTAGACTACACTTCACTTCCAGGCACTAATAACTTTAATGCTAATTTCAAGAATTAAAATTGAATGATTCCAAGATGCCAGGGAAGTGAGCTGGATTTTCATCCCAATCGGCTGGCTAGCATTATAGTCTACCTTTAATAACTTTCAAACTTTCTTTGTTCAAAGTTCCCAACATTAACAAAAAATGCTCTGGTTTGAAACGTACATATGACAAATATAGGCATATCTGTTACAAATTTCTCCAAAACTCAAGTAGACTCAGACCTTATCAAATTCCTCCCCACTCTCCTTTAAGGAGGAATGGCAGAGAAATCTTCCATGTAAAAGAATCAGCTGTAGGTAAGATGTCAGGGAGATAGGTCAGGTTGACAAAGCACCTACAAGGAAAGGTAAAGGAAAAGAAACAACAAAACTCACCGGATCTAAACATTCTAAAAATTAACTAAAAATTCAAGTTACTTGTGTAAAATTGCTCACAAAATCTTGTCCCTGTAAGGCTATAGCTCTGTTGCTGACTGCTCATTTCATGCATACACGCAGTTAAACCATTTCAGGGAAACTAGTGATGACAAATAGAAATGAATCAATCATTTAACTTGAGACAGTGCTTTAGGGTCATTGCAAGCTAACTTGCAGGGTGTCAGTGGGCCTCAGGCCTCCAAAGTGTGAGCCAAAAGCCAGCAATTTTGGAGGTGTTGCGCAGGAGGAGACGGCACATACACCTGAAGCCGAAAGAAGGGTGAAAAGGCATCCTCAACAGTGACTGTTGGCCCAGATGTACTTTGTAGCTTCCTGTTTTTCCTGCTTGAGGTTCTTGTTTGTTTGTTTGATTTCTACAGTTGCTTTCCAAATGTTTTTAGAAACTTTAGCACCAGTTTTGAGCCCTGTAGGACCGGGCGTCCTTAGGACTCAGCAAGGATAAACACAGAAAGGATAAATACTCCTTCCAGAGTTCCAAAGGGGTTTATTACTTTTGGTTCAATGGTAATGGAATCTGAGAAATACATACATTTTTCTGGTATGATAAAAGATCTGATTTTAATGTTGTCTTGCCATCCTGCCTAATAAATTCAAGAGAAATACATGCATCTGGGAAAGCTGGCTATGACAACCTCAATATCATCAAGATTACATATTAACTATATTCTCTGTTGATGTGTTCCATAAAAGTTCACAGGCCTTCAAATCAAATACAAAATACAGGGGCCTACGTTCTCTGGTCTGTTGTGCTGCCTTTGCATTAATCAGGCTATGTAAAGGCATAAGAGATTGCAGGCAACTTCAACATGCTGTAAACCCACTGCTGCTCCAGTAACAACTGGAAAAAGGAAAGGAAGTGAAGAAGAACAGTAAGACTGTGATGTGCTTCAGCTATTCCTAACTCACCCCAATGTCTGTTAGATATTATTGCCAATTATCACAAGTCAGGGCAACCACTATGCTGGTCTAACCAAGGATAAAAAAGCAAAGACCTAAAATAAGGTTCAAAACAAGTCTTTTCATTTGGTAGAAGCTGCGTGCAATCATGTAAGTAGTGCTGAATCCTTACTGCAAACAGTTTTTGGTGATTGTTTTGTAAATGTTTTCAGGCGCTTCCTGAAACCAATGAGGGAGGCAGTTGGAAGTAATTTTATCTAAAATATATTTTAGATACAGAGCATCCTGTTGATGAAGAAAGTTAAAGAAGGAAATTATTAATAATAATACCCCCTCCTGCATCCATACAAACACACACTCACTACTTTGGAGACTTAATGTTGCCTTTCCAAGATGAGATGAGGTCACACCAAGTAGTTATAAAGTTATTCAGGGCTGTGAAAAGAGATATGTTTGAGTTTTATGGGGAAATAAGTCAATGCTGAGATTTTAGAAGAAAGGGAATATTCTCACAGTGTTGAGAAAAGGAAAATATTTTGATAGCAGCAGTTTGGACACACTGAATTGAAAAGGGAAGGAGAGATTCAGTCTGAAAAGGGGAGGCTGTTGAAACTACCAGTGCATAGACTAGTGTTGAAATAGGTCACTAAATAGGTCTAGCCTTCAGATTAATTTAACATTGTCCAAATGCCATTTCTTACCTCAAACACTGCACTCAGCATACTTTGGAATACTGAAAGCAACAAATATATTCTTATTGACTGACCAAAAACCCTCAAGTAAAAATGATTCCTTGAATTAAGGTCAAACTATCTAGATCAGTTCACTGGAATGGAACTACCTGAATACGGAAAGTTTCAGTTTCCTTTTGAAATCTACTTTGCAAAATGCAAATCAATGATACAAGAAACCCTTCTTTCTTTCTTTTGTTTTAATCATTTGCAAGTGTGCCAACATTTTGCAACATTTCCTTTACTGGGTTATCTCAGGCTTCACAGAACATCTACTGTTGTAGTGTGAAAGATCTCGATAAAGGCACAGCTGTGAATGTGCCCACTATGTATCAGTTATATGTAACATGATATCTGTTCTCCTACTTAGATGGTACAAAAGGCTACTGTAACGATCTTTAAAGCTCTATTTATTAATGATCCCATCAGTTCTTCAACTGAGACTTTACTGCCTGCATTCTCTCCAGATATATATATATATACACACACATATATATACGTGTGTGTGTGTGTGTATATATAATCTAATAAGCATTTGCTTATTGCTTCCATGTGGGTCCCTTAAGGGCATGTGTTTCCACCGACCCAGGCTTCAGAACTCCCTTGCCCGAAACCAGGAGAGACATTTCACAGTGGGACACTTGACCAAATGAAAGTATGTGCAGGCAAGGGACAAAATCAGCAATTTCAGTATTTATTTTGCTCATCATTATTATTCAGAAAAAGCATTGATGAGTAACTGGATAATTTATAGAACAAGCAAAGGAAAACAGGCCTTTTAATTAGAATAATCCACATATAGTTCATGCTGACAGTGACTGAAGCAGTTCTCATGTAATGGCCCTTCACTGAATGGAATAAAACAAAAGGTGACCTTAGTATTGCTCCTGTTAGACAGATGGCAATGTCATCCATAAGCCTCCATCAAAATTGGAATTGATAGGCAGTTTTATTGGACGCCTGTTTGTAAACAGCAAATAATAAAGACTTGGCTCATACAGCTACTTTTTCGGGGCACATACATGCACCTTGCAATATGAAAAGCTCAGAATCTCCAGCTAGCCGAGTTTGGGCAGGGTTGTTTCCCTTGTTTCTGAGATTCCAACAAACAAAAGTATTGCAAATAGTTTTCAAAAAGACTATATTACAGGAAGAATCTTTAACTCAGCCTAGGTCCTTATCAGCTTTACAGCACTATTTCTTTCAATGTAGTAGCACCAAATAAATCGTACAAACCAGAAGGAACTTTTCACATTTGGAACACTAGCTTTTCTCTTGGAA